CAGGAATCTAGTATTTCCAAATAAGTCAAGTATGTCGAACCGGAAACATCAGAGGCTTCATTTTCACTGACTTCATAAGCGCGTTAACTTCAACAGATGGAACCTGGAAAAAAAAAAGATATCAAGTAAATGTATGAGTTGCTTTTTAGGGGACTACATGTATATACAATGTAATTAGCAACTTAAAGATACCTGGCACATTAGATGGAACTCTCCATCCTCAGGATTTAAACCAAAATCGCCGGAAGTTTCAACCGGAACATCACCAAACCAACCACTTGCATTATGCAGAAATACTCTTTGACCACGGAATGACAGAGTTGCCACTATTTCCTGAATATGTTCAGGCTTCCATTAAAACTATAATCACTTGGAATGTTTGCAGCAGTAATATTTGGAAAGTAGTTACTGTTTGCATATCAAAGTACGGAAATTCGGAAGACATCTGAGCACATGTGGCCTAGTTTTCACATCAGAGCCAAATGTCAGCGTCTGAAATAGATGCTTAATTTGAAATGCTAATGACTGATCTGTTTCTTACTACACTGCAGATCAACAGCACCCACCCTGAGGCGCCCTGAGAACACGCTATATAGCAGGAGCAGCCGCTAATATGACAATATCGCTTCTCCAACACCTCATTCTTCAGTCTCTTTCTCCCTTAGCTAATACATTATGCCAGAAACTTGTGCATCCAGCATACATGTGTTGAAGTGTATGCCTAGCCCTTTCTGGCTTTCCATCAGTTCAGACTTTTGGTTGCGTTGGCTAGTGCATGAAGCTTAACATGGTATATGTGGATTGCCTAGCCCTTTCCATGAGTTCGGACTTTTGGTTGTGTTGGCTAGTGCACGACGCTCAACACCATGGATATCATTTGTCAATACTGGAAACCATAAGTATAAAATGTTGCTTATAATGAAGTATGGCCAATTGTTGCACATCAAAATCCAAATGTTGGGTAATCGATAAAATTTCCACGTTTTAGAAAATGCTAGGCAAACCCACATAGTACAGAAGTTCTTTCCAGGAAATTCAACAACAATTAAACTGGCCCACCTGATGATTCATCTATTATTCCTGGAAACCCTCATGAATTTCTAGATATACCCCTGATTCTAGTCATTTCAACAATATTCACCAGCGACCAATTGTGTTTACTTCTAAAGAAGTAACTAGGCACTCATTTTTCACCCGCAACACAACACTCTAGTTATTGGTAAAGTAAGGGGTCAATGACCTACGAGAATATTGGTAGCTCAGGTTAATGGCAAATCAACAAGAAGGCATTAAAGCCATGTTAATCTGTCTTGTGCCTATGAAAACTGATTCCTTGCAAGACCCTACTTATTACAAACATGCAGAATTGGAAAAACAAATGAGGTAAGGCATAAGTATACCAAAAATGATGAGGGAGCATCTAATATCTGAAAACCTAGGCTTTTCACGTCAAGCTGGCCATGAATGCTCGGAAAGCTATCACCTTTCGACATACAGATATGCACCTGGAGAAGGAAAAGGAGAAATATTGATGTCTGCATTTAGTATCTCCAAGCATGAAAAAAAGCAGTTCTCATGAGGCATGTATGTCTAGAACTCTAGATGTAGCAATGTAGCATGAACCTTGTGGCAAGTTCAGTTATTCATTAAGTGCATGTGGAAGTCATGTCCAGGTATTGTCTAAATTGTATGCACAAGTGGCTGATATTAATAGTGAAATTGAACATGTAAGAGATTAAGTTTAGAAAAGCACCTCACCAGTTGCTCTTCCTTTGTGCCAGACAACTGGTATTTCTAGGACACGCTCAAACAGCTGCACATGAAAATTGTCCTTCAACACAAGAACTAAGAACTGTAGCATCTTGTATACATAATAAAAGTAGGTGCATTACCGGGGCAAAAGCATTGACTACATTTAGATTAGCATGCCATGTTTGCTCCGCTATGTCAACAAAGACATCTGTAGAAAGATAACCCCCTCCTTGAGAAGTTTGATCTTGTCTCCACTCCATGCAGTTCCCAGTGACATGCACATGTACACGATTATAAGAGTTTTTGAACTTGACGTGTCCATTAGCCTGTTTCATTTCCCTACAATAGTAAGGCAACGACTACAAACTTAGTTGACGTTCATTTATAATGCCGCAGTTGCACCGCAACCCCCTTTTGAAAGAGCCTATAATAATGCACTGAATAATACGAGTAAGATAAGTTGAAATATACTGTACCCTCATTACAGTAATTTACTTGACAATATAACTCCTGAAAATAAGAATTAACAATATAAATCCGAACACCGGTTATGAGAATATTTATTGTTCACAGAAATTTAATTGTTGGGGAATGCAGTAAATTCATGGGAAGGGACAGATGATCACAAAAATACCCCAATATAAGTTCCAACAGTGATACACTAATAGTCTAATACATTTTGAAAATGCACAAGAAAGGACAGAAGAGCATATATTTGCAATAGAAATGGCAAATGATGAGGTCAAACCTTGGTTCCTGATCACCGTATCCTAGAAGCATCAAGTTCCCTCCACTGAAATAAACAGAATCCAGTGTGATAGGAAGCATATGCTGAGCCCCACCAGGATTTATCTGGTCAACCCCTTCTACGAGTCCAGCAGGGGCGTCTTCAAGACCGATAGCAAATCGCGACTTCAACTTTTGAATTTCAACACCCAGAGAAGCATATGGTGCATTAAAGTTAACACGGGAGCCCTTTGCCTGCAAAGGCCAAAATGACTGACCAATATTATCTTCAGAAAGACTCTCAAATTCCTCCAACATGTGGCCTTGGTACAAGTTGCCCTTGCGATGCTGCACATCTTCCAAATGGTTGCATACCAACATTTTGTTATCGGAGTGATGCAAACTATGCTGTCTAGGTTGTTGATTATGAGAATGCTCCGCATACACATCATTTGCATCGATGATTGGCATTGCACTTGCAGATTTGCCTTCACCTAGACAGTCCAGACAACGACTACTATTTGGTGGCAATTCACCAGAATTCTCTGGTGCCGTATCAGAGCTGACAATTGGTGCATCATTTGAAGTGGCTTTGCCAGAACCAGCATTTGCATGACCTCCTCCGTTAAATGAATTATTATTCCCAGAACCAGGGGATGAGTTATCAGGATTACCACCATCCATGTTTTCAAAATATGCCACAGCAGCCTGTGCACTACGCCGAAGGATCCTTTCCTGAGAGGAATTATCGATGCCCGATACCACCTTGCTGTGACCTTTTCTCCTGTACCTTCGCTTGGTAGGGTTCGGGATCATCCTAGACCAGAAGTTGATGCCCGGGATACGCGATTTCACACCGAACGATTTCTCCAAATCCGCATGCTTTGAGCTAGAGTCAATAATGCCTGGATCCATGTGTCGATCGTTCCTGTGCATCTCATCAGCACAGAGGGGCGGGCTACTGGATTTCCCATTTCCCACAGGCCCATCATCCTCCAGCATCTCGTCAACCGAACGTGAAGTGGATTGGCCACTGGGAACTATGTATCCCCTTTGAGCAGACTCCCGAGCAGCTTTGTCCCTCTCCTCGTCCCACTGCCCCCCAGCCTTCTCCCTGGCGAGCCTCCTGGTCTTGGTACGGTAGTCAATGCCCTCCTCCGCCGAATTCCTCTTGGGCTTCCCCTCCTCGGACGGCGCGGGGATGCCCAGCCAGGAGAAATCCTTCCTCTGCGCGACGAGCGCGGTGGGGTCGGAGAGCAGGGCCTCGACGACGACCCGCCCCCGCCTGAGGCTGGCGAAGGGCCTGACCCTGATCTTCATGACGGGCACCTCGGCGCAGGAGAACTCGTCGGCGCGCGGGCCGACGGAGCAGGTGTGGAGCGTGATCCCGAGCGGCGAGACGCTGCGCGCGCCGCCGACGCGGACCTCCCGCTGGAGGTAGTCCCCGAGCGCGGCGCAGGCGGCGGGGAGGAGGCGCGCCTCGACGAAGGCCCGCGCGCGGTGCTGCGCGTACCAGGAGAGCGCGGCGGCGACGGAGAGCACGGCGGCGAAGGCGGAGCAGCGCACGAGGAAGAGGCCCTCCCGCCATACGGAGGCCAGGGAGCCGATCAGGGCCCGCAGCGGCGGCGGGCGGTGTTCGTGGCCGTGGCTGGGGAGGCAGTTGCTCGAGTCGGAGACCCTGAGGCGGAGCAGCGGGGGCGGGTCGAGGCGAGCGAGGGTTAGGACGGGCCTCGGGACGTGGCGGCGGCAGCGCGCGCGGCGGGGCCGGCGGAGGAGGAGGGGCGGCGGCGCGAGGAAGGGCGAGACGCGGAGGCAGTGCGACATTGCGCCGGGCCTGGCCGCCTAGGTGACCATTTACGTGCGGCGGGAGGAAGAGAGATGGGATGGGTGGGTGGAGTAGTAGTCACCGGCAGTGGGCGGGCCGAGAGAGAGAGATGGACGGGGAGAGATGCTTGCCTCTCGCTGGGGTCGTTGCCTACTTGCCGTGCTCGCTTCTTTTTGGATTTGCCGCAGATGATTTGTCTTCCCTTCGCCTCTTCTTGTCTCGCCTCCTCTTTGTGACGAAAGCGAAAGACAAGACAAGCTTATTCTTTCACTTCTCTTTTTCGTACAAAAAATGGCCTACCAGCAGCATATGGAATGAATGTTTTTCAGAGGGCAAAATAACAAAGATACTCCTACCAAAGAAGGCATCGGAAACCTAAAGACAACCATGAAGCATCATCCACAGAGAGACAGAGAAAGTACCAAGAGGCCCTGTTGGCCATGTTGTTGTCTATCATAAGTTCAACCGGATCAACACAATTCAAAACACAATTACAACGACCGTTCTGGTGACCACGAAGGCCTTCCAGAATTCCGAAACCGAATATCAGAAAGGCGCTCCATGGTCACCATAAATACACAACTCTGGGGAGGACGGGACGGGGGAAAAGTTTATTGCGACGGGTCCAAAACGAACAAGGGGATCATTCATTATCGAAACTCAGAGCATCTCAAAACTTGGGCGGCCCGGCCCCTTTTTACCGCACGGGTTGCTGGTTGTAATGGCTCTTCTCCTTCTTCTTTGCCGCCGCGAGCCTCGCGGTCCTGGCTGCCGCCTCTGCCGCGGCGATCTTTGCAGCTGTGTCCGTCTCCTTGCCCGACTTCTTCTTCTTCATCGACGCCATCTTCTTTAGGCGCTCCTTGACATCCACAGCCGTGTCTTCCTCGGGTTCTGCACTGGTAGCCTCCTCCGACACCTCAGCTTCCTTTGCCTCCTTTGCGCTCTTGTCCTTCTTGTTCTTCTTCTTCTTGGCATTCTTGCTCTCTGAAGGGGCAGGTGCGTCTTCCTTTCTCTCTCCATCACCAGCTTGGCTCGCACCTTTCTTCTCAGCTGCAACAATGTTTATCATGTATAAGAAACAAAGTTTATAAAAGCAATGAAGCCACATATAGGTACTCAGCTTTATTAGTCCTCCACAGTGCTACATAAGGGAAATATAAAAAGGGGGGAATCGCTTAAAGTGGAGCATTACCATTGTTGTTTCCATCTTGTGCAGCATCGCTTGTGTTTTCAGAAATTCCCAACTCAGCTAACACAGCATCAAGTTCAGCCAGTTCCTTCTTTTTCAACTCCTTTTTGGACAGCTGCCTTTCTGTCTCTTTAGGTGCTGCTGCAACTTTCTTCACATCAGGATCAGCAGCTTCCACTTCAAGCTCAGGTTCATCCTCAGCACCATCCTCAGCCTCATCATCATGCTCCTCATCCTCACTTTCAATTTCCTGCAGTATGTAGAAGCAATGCATCTAAGAATAGTATCACCAAGGCATACAGACACAACTATTGCCATGTTCCAACATCATGCGAACCTCTGGCCAACAAAGTTCAAACAAGATAAATTCTGGTAGAAATCTAGCAAGTAGAGGCAGTTCCTTATGACTTGCCTAGACAAGCTGAACAGAAACTTGGACCAAATTACTATCAATCAATTTTGAATATATGTTCTCATTGTGTCTGGGGTGCTTGAACTCAAAAAGAATTACAGGGGCCATAACCTCTCCCTGACTTCAATTGCTCCAAAAACACCTATGTCAAAACTCTCAACAACTATCCATAAAAACTACCAAAAGAACAGTGTGACATCGTCAATAAAGAATAAGTGAGAGATACTGATGGCATCAAATAGGTAGTCTTTCATTGCATTTTTTTGTGGGCATTATGTGCCTCTACACACTAGTCACAAAGTTGTTATATCTAGTGTGCAACGTGGATAAAAACACTAGTACATCAATGAGTGATAAGTACAGGAAATGCTACAATGTTAATGCATAACATGCCTACACTTACCATGTGCAATAATAAATTAACAAATAATATACTGACAAAAAAGTAATATCACATCAATGCAAATAGAAATTCACAGGCCGTAAATGCACCAAAAGGCCGAAGTAAATACACTCACTTATAACCCATTTGTCGCACTGAACATCCATTCCGAAATAACAGGGGATACCGTTCACAAAATTAATCTGGCAGGAATTAGTACAGCACAGCCTACAGGATGCCCCCTGACCTCACTTCGACAACTCTCCCACCATACAGACAGTGTACAAATTCTTGTCACGAGGCACCACTTCCATAACAAGACCTAACTTGAAACTCCTTGCCCGCTGAACATACGTCACATGGCGATGGGGATACCGTTATCAATAATCCCCCAGTCACTGAACATATGTTACACAACGATGGGGATGCCGTTATCAATAATCCCAGGAGTCATTGAACATACGTCACACAACGATGGGGATACCATTATCAATAATCCCAGTATCCCACAGTCACTGAACATACGTCACACAACGATGGGGATACCGTTATCAATAATCCCACAGTCACTGAACATACGTTACAGAACGATCGAGATACTGTTTTCAATAATCCCGCAGTCTTGTCCCCTGCCTCACTCAACCAAACAAGCACACACCAATACGAACACCATACGGAATACAGCTAAGCCGCTTCCGATTCGGATTCGGATTCGCTGCTTCAAATAATAACTACAGACATAATTCAAAGCCCAATTGTCCACTGGGCACACATTGTGAATCAATGGTTGAAAGCGTTCACAATTAACCCAGCAGGCATCAGTATACTCAATAGTCTACAGATGCCTCCCTGCCCCACTCAATCCAACATCTGCATATCAACACTACCACCATATGCAAACTAATCAGCAATCATATGGGCGTTGCACAACAGCACAGTTCTCATCTCGAGCAAAATAAACAGATCATGAACAGCACAAACAGATAAACATGGGCGTGCGTAACAGGGAGAGAGAATAGACCTCAGGCAGGGCGGCGTGGACAGCATCGACCTCGTCCTCCTCCTCCTCCTTGGCCGTCTTGGCGGCGGCGTGGTCGTTCCCCCAGATGGGCGCGGGGGGCGCGGTGGTGGCGAAGTAGTCGTCGTCGTCGTCGTCCTCGACGTCGGCCCACGACTTGGTGTTGAGCGGGGCGGGGGCCCAGAAGAGCTCCTTCTGCTGCTGCGGCGTGGGGTCGTCGCCCTGCTTCCCTCCCTTGGAGGAGCCCCCCTTGGCCTTGTCGCCCTTCTTCTTCTTCTTGAGGGTCTCGAGCGCCGCGAACACGTTGCCGGTGTTGAGCTTGGCCTCGTCCGCCGCGCCTCCCCTCCTGCCTCCGCCCACCATGCTCACTCCTACCTTGCCCGGGGACGCGAGGAAAATCCCGGCGGCTGGGGGCCCCGAAATCGGAATCTAAATCTAGCCCCCCGGCGGCCCACGGTCGCGGTGGACGGCCGCCGATCTGCGCGCGACGGGCCGGGGCGGGCGTGCGTACGGAGCGGCGGCCGGATAGGGGGGCTGCCTGTCGTCGGCTTGATCGGCGGCGCCGCGGCGGCGTTGGGATTAGGGTTTTGAGACGGGAGGGTGGGGTGGGGTGGGGTTGGGGTGGGTTGCGGTGGTGTGTCGAGAGAGGTAAAACGGCGTGTGCTCTGTTGCTGGTTTATAGAGAGCGAGGGGTGGGGTGGGATGAGACGGACGGACGGGTAGCCGTTTCTGGTCTGCGCTGCGCTCCTGCAGGGGGGTTGTGGCCTGCCCGCCCGCCCAGCTTATCTTTCCGCAGCGAGCGAGCGAGCTGAGGTCTATCCGTCCGGCCACGCGCAAGCGCGACCCGGAGCCGTGTCGTGGGATGCCTGCCTACGTCCTCGTGTTTTTGTTACGGTCTGCAGCGTCTGCACGTGTACTCCGTCCGATGCACAGGGCACGGTGAAACCGGTTTCAGCTGCTGCTGCTGTTGGGAAATCTGCCACCGTTCTCTTCGACTGGCACCGGACGTACTGGAAAGTGGAAAGGGGGTTCGAAACAGGACGCGGCAGGCAGAACCGGCGCTGCCTATACTAGTACATCGTTTGAACCAAAACAGAAAAGGTTTCTGAGCCAAAAGGACGACTCAAGGGGGCAGATTTGGCGACACATTGAGAGCCGGAATTAGAGAGACAGAGAGCGCAAAAGAGCAGGACCGACAGAGGATTTTATTATCAGCAACAAACATTTTCAGCAAAGATTACACGACCTATATCACCGCACGCCATGAGACCGTATCATAAAACATACTGTAATAAAAATATAATACCACCGCCCGGTCGGTAGTAACAACAGATCCATCCTGGATGCTCCTCCCAATTTACATGACCACAGAGGCTACTAGACTGCCTGACGCTTATCATCATCATCATCCCAGTGAAAATTGTGTACATGGTGTATGTAGTTCGGTAAAAATTAAAGAATATACTTGCACACAACATGCGTTACAAGGGGTGGGGATCATGCCACGAAGAATATGAAGATCATGAGGAACACCATCAGCACGAAGAATATCTTCATCATCAGCCACCTGTTTGACGAGATGCTGTTGAGGTACTTCAGGAGTTGACCCTGCGCTCCCTCGACGTTGGCTACCGTCTCCTCCATGTTCTCATCGATTCTGCCATACATAGCACATGAGCACACATTTAAGGGAAGACTCTTAACCCAATTGGAATAAAAGAAAAGAAAAACATGAACTAAGTTTGGCGCACAAAACCTAGTCTCCTCCATCTGAGATAATTTTACCATGAACAAAGGACTCCCTCCGTTTCATAATGTAGTGCGTATAGATTTTTTGACTTGTTAAACTTTGCAAACTTTGACCAAGTTTATAGAGAAAACCATTTATATGTACAATACCAAATATATAAAATATGAAACTACATCTTATGATGAATCTAATGATATGTGTTTTGTATTCTAGATGTAAATGTTTTTCTCCCAAAATTTGGTCAAAGTTTATGAGGTTTGACTTTTCAGAAAATCTATATGCGCTACATTATGGAATGGAGGGAGTATTGGCACAGAAAACATAGTCTACTGGAGATAATCCATCTGAACTAATTTTATCATGAATAATAAAGAATATTTATGCCTAGCTAGCTTAATAATACTTGATCAACAGATCAGGGACCAGAATCTTGTGCTGCGGTAGGGGGCATACTAAAGTAGTCAATTAAGAAATCAGGAGAAGCGCCTACACAAACATTACATACTCCCTCCAATCCATATTAATCAGCGCTCAAGCGGATGTATCTAACACTAAAACATGTCTAGGTACATCCATTTCAGCGACAACTAATATGGATCAGAGGGAGTACCATGTATCCTTCTGATTTAAAGATAACTCAAGTGAGACCATCATGCAAAACAACTAAGATTCATCACTATTTTAAGAAAATGCATTATAATGGGATTCTCTAGGGTGTGATCAAGTCCGACATCTTGAAGCTGTAAATAATTATTCAAAATGAAATATGAATACGACTCAAAGTCTAGGATTGCCTACTCCTGAAAATACATACAACAAACTTAGTTTGCGTAAAGTTCACCTGATTGCTAGCTCTCCCTGCTGAGACACCATGGTTGCCAGCTGGGTAAAGATGTTGCTCAGCTCATGGATGGTTGATTCCACATTTTGAAGAGCCTCAGCTCTGCTCTGCATGTAACTATCCTGCTGTACTGCCAATTGCTGCTGCTGCATGAAAGCAGGAGACGACGACGACGACGATGATGCTCCATGATCTCCATTAGTCTTCTTCCTGGTGAACAGAAGCAGAAGATTCAAAACCAAACTCGTGAAGCACGCTGCAATACTTGCAGAGCTTTATATGGTTAAGCAACAGTAACGCAAGAGTAGTCCAATTCGATTGCATTAGTTCGTTAAGGTCAGATCTGCGTGTATATATTTGTTGGTTTAGTATTCCATTGTTTAACAGACAGTTACATGAGCCTTGGAGTATTGCATTTCTAATATAGAAATGGAATAACTGTTTTATCATGCTACCCTTGCATGACAACATCCTTTTCCTACCTTCCTTCTCCTTGGACACCATTCAGTCAAGGTTCCATCATGGCTCGTGGGCATCAGGGTTCAGGGTCTCAACCCCATAATACTCATAAGTATTAATAAAGGTGCAATTTCAAAATACTACTGGCTCTATTAGGGGCAGGGAATTGTTTTGCAAAACTTTGTCTATACCATTTATTAGGAGTGTCATGTTCTGCAAAACAGACACCTAACAATAAGAAGCACCAAGCGTTTGGCGGTGCAATCTCTGACTAGCATAGCATGTGAAGGCCTAAGCTAAGGTGGTTGTGCATAACTGCTCACAATGTTAGTACACACTGATCAAACTGAATGCTTGCAATGGTACCTCTGAAACAATGGCGTAGTTGCAGAGTCACTGGCCCATGGTGCTGGGGGTGCAGCGTCGGATGCCTCTCTGGGAACAAGGGGCCGCTGACGAATGAATGGATTTGATGCATCTTTTGCAGCTGAGGACGAGAACATTTGCCTTCTGTTTTCATGGACCTTTAAATTCTGCACATTCAGGGAGAAACACATTTAGTGTGCCATTTATAATGAAGACACTATCCAAAGAAAAAGGAAACATGGTGACAATATATTTGAATCAGGAAAGCATTTACTATTTTTATCTGACCTCTGTCCGCATTGTAAGGACTTCTTTGAATTCTTTCGTTGCACTCATCAGTCGATTTTTCAGGTTGTCCACAACGGTAGTGGAATGATTTGTTGTATCCTTGGAAAGATTGCCACTCTCATTTTGTGAATTGCACAGAACTTGTAAGTCCATAACAGCATTATTCAAAGCACCAATATCCTTCTTAACAACTGCAGTCAACTCTTGTATCTCTAAGGTAGGGTCATCAAAAACAGATGTCTTCTTTGCCACTGTAAACAATCATGCTGTAAAATCAGCAACGATCCATACTTTATACTGTAAATATACACAGAGCAAGTGTTGACATAATTGGTACTAGTGTAACTAGATCTCAAGTCAGCACCTTACCAGATCAACACTTCATAGTTCAATATGGTAACTTGCAGTACATAACTATGAATGTTACTTTCTCAGTCAATAGTATCAAGAGGTCATTTAGAAAATTTGAACTGATAGTACTTGTAAATTTTACAACCAATAACTTTGCATCAAAGTGCGAGGAAGCAGCTAAGCCATCACACTGCTATTAAGATATTACTTAGGTGGGAGGCCAAACTGATAAAAAAATGGTAAGCTTCATCCAGTGCTTATGAATACAAAGAAGGTGCAAATAAGTAGAAACTATGTTCAATGCACATTTGGCAGTGGTAGGCATACATCTATCTACATTTTCTACCTTCATGCAGTGTTACCAATGCAATGCAATGCAGAAAGTGCAGTCAAATCTTCTGAGGAAGGTATTAACCAACCAAAGACATCTAAAGCGGAGACAAGCACTCTAAAAGTGGCAACAGAATGAGTAGTACAGGCATACATACTAGTACAAATGATTATAAAAAAGGAACAATCAGTGAGCCCTCACTGCACAGCACTTGAGAAGATATGCAGACATTTCATATATCACTGAGAGACCAAGGTACCAGTTTACATTCAATACACATGCACATCGCTGATGCATATAATCCCATTGAGACTGCTATTCTCTATCTAACTTCATTCTTCAGTACATGGTAATGGTCAAAAGAAGCATCTTACTAGCAAGTACTAGAATATATCAGATGTAGTAATTCATAAACAGGCACAAAATGAGGCAGATGTGATCACTGCTATCATCGCAACAGGTGCAGAACAACCATCCGGATATCAACAAAGCAAACTACATGGCAGCGCAATTTCAGTAAGTACACAAACACTGAAAGATTAAGAAAAATGGCAGGCATCTAATCCAAATGTCATAGGAGCACTAGGTAAGAAACAAGCATGCTTCGTACAATATACTATATACATGGCCATTCATGCACGTTGACATCTCCTCAGGCTACGACTTAATCAAGCATGAGCTCTACAGTCTACACCTCGGGCGTTCCGAGATCCCAACCAAACAGCCCGGAGGGGGCACAACGCAAACACGAAGGTAGTTTGGTATAGGAGTAAATGGAAATGCAACAAAGGGGGGGAGCTAGTTAGTTATACATTTGGCGAGGCGGGCGAGCTTCTGGGAGGTCTGGTGGATCCCGAGCCCGATCTTGGAGGCGCGGCGGTTGAACTCGGAGTGCGCCGACGCGGCGGAGCGCGAGTCGTCGAGGGGCCCGGCGCTGCCGCTGGCCGACGCGGCGGCCGGGGAGGGTGCGACGTGGCGGCGTGCGCTCTCGACGGCGGAGCGGAACTCGTTGGTGCGGTCCCGGAACGACGCCGGGGCGGACCGCGACGGGTTCATGGCCGCCGCCGACGCCGGATCTGGATCTGGGCCGCCGCGTCGGTTGGGCTCGGGGGCGCGGG